GACTTCCAGGGCCCTTTTCGGCGGACGTTTGAGCAACGTGCAGAATCCTATGTTTCCCCACGCTTTGCCCCCAATGCCTGCCCAGCCCATTCGCGCCCGCGTGCTGCGGGCCATTTTGCCGCGACGCCGCAATTCGCATGTTCTTTTGCGCCCAGCTAGGCCGGCCCGAGGAAACACCGATCCGACCGTTCATGTTTGCCTGTGGAACTTCGCCGAAACAGCCCGACCACTGACGCGTGATATTCCGCGCGTTGCGCTCCTTGGGCAAGTGGCCGACCTAGTGGATTTTCTTTTGTGGGTCATGCAAGTCGGGGAGGGGGCGCGCGTGAGGTCTCTGCTTGTCGCCGAGCTGCAACGTAAAAGGGCGCATGTTGATGCGCCTGATTATTCACTCTTACGCGGCCATGCATTCTTGTGCTCGGCGTCATGTCCAGTCCGCGTTTTCCATTCAGCGCGTTCAAACGAATCCGACGACGGGGGGCGGACTCCCAGCGTCCTCCTCGCCCCCCGTGACAGAGTCGCGCGGCTCAGGCTTGCCGCGCGCGCCCATGCGCGCGGCGTGGCCAGGAGGAGGCGCATAGGAAGTGATGTTTCCTTTGGAAAGCGATGGGGCAATTATGCGGGGAGCTGTGCAACAGGAAGGATCGGTAGAAGAGGGTCTTTCGCATATTGACGAGTCGGGGGGGTGGTCATATTCGCAGGCCTTCTGGGGCACCGAGCGTTTCCCGCGATCCGACGTTGGGCTTGCGCGGAACACCTTCTCAACGCGATGATTGCGTCAATCGTGCCAATGCGTCTGGATCACGTTTGTGTAGCGCACTAGAGGTCCACGTCCGTTTTGCATTGCCATCCGATCGTTTGTATACCCTTTGCATTCATTCCCGCTTCGCCGTGGCCCACTTGGAGCAGCGGTGCCGGCGTTGCTTTGGATTCGGCCGCGTGCGTCGCAGATGGCGACGCAGTGAAGTCGCCCATATCGTTGTTTCCATGGGACATGCAGGGCGTCCACACCACACCCCTTTACACCACACCCCTTTTCCATCTTCTAAACTTTGGGCTCATGCCATGAGAACACTGTTCTGGTTCTCAGAACGTGTGCGGGCTCTGAGAACATGCGGCAGGCCTCTAAGAAATGCCGGGACGGTCGCTTCCTGCTCCAGGGAGCGGGAGCGGGTGCGCCCTGCGCACCGGCGGGCGCCTCGGAGCGCAGTCGAGGCGCGGCCTCCTCCGCCATTGGGCCAGACGAGCGCGCCTGCGGCAGCAGCGGCAACCGCCTGGATGGTTCGACGAGGCGCCTTCGCCTGGAGGTTGCTCTCCGAAGGGCTTAGGCGACCCGCTCCTCCTCCTCCTCCTCCTCCTCCTCCTCCTCCTCCCCTCCTCCTCCTCCTCCTCTTCCTCCTCCTCCTCCTCCTCCTCCTCCTCCTCCTCCTCCTCCTCCTCCTCCTCCTCCGCCTCCTCCCTCCTCCTCCTCCTCCTCCTCCTCCTCCTCCTCCTCCTCCCCCTCCTCCCCCCTCCTCCCCTCCTCCTCCTCCTCCTCCTCCTCCTCCTCCTCCTCCTCCTCCTCCTCCTCCTTATCTTCCTCCTCCTCCTTCTCGGGTCGCCTACGGCCCTGGGGGAAACCGTGCACCTTCGCCTGGCAAGCTGCGCGGACGGCGGCTGCCATCCACGGACATGGCTCCTGTGCCTAAGTCGGGCCTGTCCCTCCACAGGAGGAGTATTCAATTAGAGTCAAACAAGTAGTCAATGGACGATGTGTGTAGCACTTTTGGGGCATGTTTTGAATATGTTTTGACTATTTCGTATTTTTCGTCCAAAATCCCCCTGTAGGGGGACACGCCCGACTTAAGCCTATGCAGTACCTAGGGGGATCAAGCACCTGCCGCAACCGTTGACGACGCCATGGTTCGGGCAACACGGTCCGCCAAGTTTGTCGCCCAGACCATCGCGGCTGTGGCCCGCGCGTCAGCTGGCGCGCTGAGGGCGGCGGCCCACCTCGTCTTCCCGGGGAAACTTGTCGAGAGGAGAAGGAGGGAAGGGCTGGAGGGGAAGAGAGACGAGAAACAACGAGAAAGAAGAGGAGCAACTGGAGGGGAGGGAAGGGGGGAGGAAACGGAGGAGGGGGAGGAAAAGGTGGAGGAGGAGGAGGAGGCGCATGACCCGGTTCTTCCCCCGTTTCGGAGGGCGCGTCACGGATGCAGCTACGCTTGTCTTGGCCAGATCGGCTCGGTGCCCGGGATCGGTGCCTGGGTATCGGGGCAGGTTTGAAGCTTGGCGTCCCTGCTCCTCCTCCTACTCCCCCTGCTCCTCCTCCTCCTCCTCCTCCTCCTCCTACTGCTCCTCCTCCTCTTCCTTCTCCTCCTCCTCCTCCTCCTCATCATCATCATGATGATGATGATCATCATCATCATCATCATCATCATCATCATCATCATCATAATCATCAATCATCATCAATCATCATCATCATCATCACATCATCATCATCATCATCATCATCATCATCATCATCATCATCATCATCATCATCATCCCCCTCCTCCTCATCCTCATCCGCATCCTCATCCTCATCCTTCTCCTTCTCCTCCTTCTCATCCCCCTCCCCCTCCTCCCCCTCCTCCTCTTCCTCCTCCTCTTCCGCCTCCTCCTCCTCCTTATCCCCCTCCTCCTCCTCCTCGTCCTCCTCCTCCTTCTCCTCTTCCACGGCTGGCAGCGGAGGCGGCGGCCGAGCCCGGCAGCGCTGCGGCGGCGGAGGACCCCCCTTCCCCGCCCGTGGCGCCCCGAGGGGCCGGCCGCTCCGCGAGGCGGTCGCGCCGCACGCGCTGGGCTTAACTCGGGTATAGCCAAAACCCCAGGTAAGGGGACCCGGTTAGTGGTTGGGCCCTGGAGCCCTTAAATCAGCCAGAATTACTAAACCAGGTCTGCCGTAGCTGGTGTTTGTTCGGGTGACGGCAGTTCCGGTTAGTGGAACGGGGCGGGGGGGGCGTCCCCCAGTGCACATCACTAGACCAGGTCCCACTAAGCCCAGTTCTGGCAACGCCCGATTAACTTGGGCGTGTTCCTTTACAGGCGGGATATTCAAAAAATGTCAAAAATAGTCGGGGCGATTTGTTTTATAATTTTCCGTATGCTTGATTTTGTGGGGGCCACTTTCACATCGTTTATCCAACATCCCCCTGTAGGAGAACATGCCCGACCTAACATTGGGCGGGAGACAGGCCCAGGCCTCCATCGGGCGGGTGGTAATGAGGGTGTTCTGACCCCAACGGCGGAAGTTTTTCGCTATTTCTGGCCTCTGGGGGCCTTCACCGGGCCTCTGGACCGTCAAACAACACTTCAGGATGAGAGACCGGTCCCTGCGTACGGGTGGAGAGCTCCAGGGTCGACGTTACGAAAGAGTCATGACGTCGGGGGTCCGGGACCCGGGGGGGCGGAGCAGAGGGCCCCGAAGTGGTATCTCGGGCGCTCTCTGGAGCCAGCAGGGGCCCCGAAAGGAGCCCTACAGGACTCCTTTCGGGGCCCGGTTCTTCACCCCCCCATGCAATGCAGGTCACCCCCAGGAAAATCGAGGAAGATCGAGGGAGATCGAGGATGAAGGAAGATCGAGGGAGATCGAGGATCCAGGAAGATCGAGGATCAAGGAAAACGCTCGGGGATCAAGGCTCTGCACGTGCGTCGTCTCTTTGAGGCCCCCGGAGCGCCCTCGTCGTCGCGACGCTGGATCCACCCGGAGTTCTCGTCCTGTGCGTCCTCCTCCTGCTGGTGAGCAGTTGTTCTCTGGGCTGATGGGTCAGTATCTGTCTTCCGCTAGGTTCCCCTCGCACTCTTGGTGTTCATCTTGGGTTACGTGCCTTGGTCCGCCTCTTTTGCTGTGGGGTCTGTCGGCTGCGTTCTCGGAGCAACGTGGTCGAGATCCTCCACTTCCTCCCAAGAGTGAGCAATTGTTTCCTGGGCCGGCGGGTCAGAATCCCTTTTTCCTGGCCTGCGATTTTCGCTCAAAGAGGCTGTTGCGATCGTGTCGTCCTCGTGATCGCGAACGGTTCTAGGCGGAATGTCTATACGACTTGTTCCAGTCGCTGGCGCTCCCCCCGCCAGAGCTGTCGCGCAATCGACCTTGGAAGACCACTGCCTATCTCGCAGAGCCTGTAGATCCATGGCGGAGTGTCGTCTGAGGAGCGTTCGGGGGAGGAGGGTCTGGGTTAATGTAGGATGACGGTTCATAAATGACCGGGGGTGGTGTTGCATCGGCGGCGCCCCAGAGGATACCTAGAAAAAACCGGCCGCGGGCTGGGAAACTATTTTTTTAAACGTTCCCCCCTTGCCGTCCTCGGGCGCGCGCGTGGACGTAACGAGTACGATTATAACGTAGCGTAATGAGCATTAGACATAATATCTCAAACCGACGTGGAACGAGTATATGACGTAAAAGTTGAAGCCGACGTAGAATTGGTATTTGACGTAACATTTGAAGTCGACGTCGAATGATTATTTAACGGGAAATTTGACGACGACGTGAACTGAGTATTCGACGCAATATTCGTAGCCGACGTGGTATAGACATGTTTTAAACGTCCTCCTCCCATTGAACATTCATTCAGAAATCAGAGAAACTATGTTTTAATCGTTCCCGTATCTGTTTGTTAATCATCATCCTGCATTACCAGCCAGAACGATGGTCTTGCTGCAGTTGGGAATGTTTTCCTTATCATGACATGTTGGTCGATGCTATCCTCATTGTGGCCTTCTTCAGTCCTCCGTCCTTCCTCCTTACTCACCCCCTCATCTCTCTTCCCCCTCTTCTCTCCTCCATCGTATCCATATAACAGGTAGTTGGGCTCGCTCCACCCACACTCTCAATGTGCAGATTACCCTCCCCAGTCGGTTCTGTACCAGGTTCGGCGCCATAGCCGAGTGTCCATAGTAGCCATTTTGGTTCAAGGCTCAAGTCGCAGGGTGCCGCCTCACCCGTCATTCCAACTCTTAGCCAGTCGCATTGATTGGTTATGGAGAGGGCACCCTTGGAGATCCGAGCGGTCGTGAAGGCCTATGTTTCAAAAGTCGCCCCCAGTGCGTCGGCCTTCGATTTTTTGATACTGGTGCCGCGGAACTTTCAGGACAAGCTGGCCAATGTGCTCGCCCCCGAGGCAGGCCATGGAGGCATGAGCGTGGGCAGGATCACCCAGATGGTGGATCAGCACGAGGCCGTGGTCATCCCGCCCGTGTACAAGACGAAGGAGCATGGGGATTTGACGCGTGTGTTGGGCCATCTCAGGGCCGCGCATCCTGACACGTTCGTTTTCTTGGTGCAGTTGCCGCATCGGTTCGGTACCAAGCTGACAAGGGCTACCTCCGTACATTGATGGCACGGCAGGATGCGCTCTACAGCTTTGGGGCGAGCGGCGTGCTAATGGAGCTGGAGGGTGACCCAGAGGGCTTGCAGCACAAGGTACGTCTGGAGCTTATGGAAAACACCGCGTTGCAGCTGCGCGTGCAACACTTCGAGAACGCCTTGAGAACGGAAGGACTCGAGTGCCAGACCATCGAGGACGAATGTGGCAGACTTTTATGGGATGCCTTCCCGAAGTTGCTAATCCCTAGTTTTCCCGCTCTAGACAGGTGCTCCTTATGTTAGAACGGGAGGACCAGGTCGGGGAGTTCCAGCTGGTGCAATAGTATGTATGTCATCCGCACGTCTTGAAGGCGGTTAACGGGCAGCACGATGTTGCCGTTGTCAAGATGTGCAACAAGCGCAGCGTCACGGCTGCCGAGGAGGTGGGGAGCATCTACCAGGAGTTCTGCCTCCTGAAACACACCCTCGACCATCAACACATGATTCGCTGCGTAACCATGCTGCACAGCCAGTCCCATGTGCACCTGGTGCTCCAGTATGGTGGCGACGCCTGCATGGAGCAGCTGCTGTCGACTCAGCCAGGCTGCCGCTTGTCCAGGGACGACGCCCTGCACTGCACCACCCAGGTCGCGAGTGCTCTGTCTTATTGCCACGCCATTGATGTTTCTCACGGGCAGGTGTCGCCGTGGCACGTGTGGGTAGAGATGGCGAGGAATCGGCTCGTTTGCCGGCTGGTGGACTTCAGCATGGCAGCCCGTGTTCAATACGTCAGTACGCGGAAGACCCTGTGCGGCGCGCTCCCGTGCGTCGCTCTAGAGACAGCGCTGAAGGAGCCGTACTGGCCCAAGCCGGCAGCTTGCTGGAGCCTAGGGGTGGAGCTCCTGGAGGCCATCGGCGGGCAGGGCCCGCTCGAGCTGTCGGTGCGGTGGCGCCGTGGCGCATCCCTCGCGCAGGCCGCGCTGGAGACACTCGAGCTCTTCGCCCAAGCAGGCTCTCATGCCCAAGCGATGGCGAGCATGGGCGGCGCGCACGACGATGCGGCGCTGGCGTGCCTGGAGGCCCTGCCGAGGCCCGAGCCCCTCCGCAGCGCGAACGCCTCCGACGTGGTGGAGGTGCTGTCAGCCCGGCGCGTGCAGGCCGCTCGTTTCGGGTCGGACGAACGGGGGGAGGAGCATCTCTCAAGTGGCCTTCCTCCGAACAACGGAGAAGAATCCGGGCACGATGTTGTGGTGCATATCCCCGCGCAGCGGCGCCCGAGACGAACAGCGGCTAGTGTAGCCCCGCTCCTCGGTCCGCGCCCATATTCCTTGCCGTGTTGGTGAACCCTTGAGGCACGTGGCCACCAGTGCAGACCTTGGACTTTGAGAGACCTCAGTTGTTTTGCGGGTCTGAAGGCCCGCTTCTTTTTTTGCCAGCACTAGTGATACCCGAGTCATAGTAAGGGGAGGTTGACCTTATCGTTGCGACCGTGAACTGGTATTGTATCACCCTCGATGGGGGCACTGTTTCTGCGCGTGTTGCGCTGCTGCGCGCTCGGTGATTCAAAACACCGAGCGTGTCGACCGTTGCGAGCACTTTTACCGCCACGGCCCTCGCCCATGCAGCCGGGCTGAGGAGGGATCTCCATGCCAGTCGTCTTTAGCGTGATGATGGTGAGGATGCGGAGTAGCCGGAGGTGATGAGTGGTGGGGTGGGGGAGGAGGCTGAAGCCATGCGAAGCATGGAACCTCGCGCATGCACGCGCGACCAAGCAGCCAGGGAACGACATCGGCTGCAATGCTTGTTTGGGTAGTGAGAATGTGGATGTTATGGGGGGATGTCCTTGAGACTTTGATCTTGGGGAGGCAGCACTTGGGATTCAGATGCCACGCGAAGTTTTACCCTCCTTCGCATTCTTGGTGTTTTTTCCTGGATCACGTGCCTGGGTCCACCGCTTTTGTTGTGGGATCTGCCGGCTGCGTTCTCAAAACATCGTGGTCGAGATCCTCCACTTCCTCCCAAGAGTGAGCAGTTGTTTCCTGGGCTGGCGGGTCAGACTCCCCTTTTCCTGGCCTGCGACTTTCGCTCAAAGAGCCTGTTGCGATCATCGTGTCTTCCTCGTGCTCGCGAACGGTTCTAGGCGGAATATAGGTGTATATATACACACACACGAAAAAGTAGATCGTTCTCATGATATCGTCATTCGTTCGTATGACAGGAGTGAGTCGTTCGTGTGAGAGGGATGAGTTGCTCGTATGATAGGGCAGAGTCGTTCAGATGGCTAGGTGGGTTGTTCTTACGACACCCGTTCGTGTGACAGTGACGAGCCGCTCGTGTGAGAGTGGCGAGCCGGCGACGACTCTGATTACGAGGACGACGGCGATGAACATGATTCTGAAGAGAACGACGACGAATATGTTGATGATGGTGATGACGACGACGATGACGATGATAATGACGGCGGTCGTGACGATGATGACGACGACGATGTTGTGCCTGGGCCTGGCTAGAACCTCAGCGCGCGCGAAGCGCTCGTGTGGTTCGAGTTTCTGTATACGGAACAATCACCGAGGCTATGGCAGGTAGTTCTTTAGGGAAGGCGTTTTTTTCCTGCTCGCGAGCGTCGGAGCGCTACCTTCCCGATTGGGTGTTCTTCTCGAACTGGTGGGAGCGACCCTCCTATCCAGGTCCGGAGACCAATGAATGTTAAAATCGCCAGGGACAATGGTAGATAGCTCTTGGGGCAGGCATTTTGCCATGCACGCGAGCGTAAAGTGCAGTCTTTCCAATCGTTTGAAGCTTTCCTCGGACTCGCGGGAGCGACCCTCCCATCCCGATCCCGAGGCTCAGGAATTCTTCCATCGCCAGGGTCATGGTAGATAGTCCTTCTCCTTCTCCTCATCCTTCCCCTTCCATTTTGATTTGAATGCCCGGCCCCCCAGCTGCGACCGTGTAGGGTGCCGCCGTGATCTTCCCATTCCGGTGCGATGTATTTCTTCCGATAAGCGCTCCTAGCCAGCTGGATGGGTGAAGCTATTATCGGGGTGTTTGCGTTGCGACCCAAGCTCAGGTCCCCGTCACAGCAACGATTGCGAGGCAGAAGAAAAAGAACATACAATTCTTTGAGCAGGCATCTTTGTCTTGCACGCGAGCGGCGAAGTGCCGTCGCTCTAACCGGTTTAAGCTGTCCTCGGATTGGCGGGAGCGACCCTGCCTCGCAAGGGAGGGTCGAGGAAAATGTGGAAACAAATAACCCCAATACGGCCCCCTTGTCCCAACGCGGCATAGCCCTCTGTACAGGGTGCCCCACAACTCCAGCCTTCCGCCCCCGCGGGCCCCCAGGCAGCCCTAAGAGGCCCCGAAGAAGCGCCACGAGGCCCCCGAGAGGCCCCCAAGAGGCCCCAAGAGGCCCCCAAGAGACCCGAAAGAGGCCCCAAGAAGCCCCAAAACGGCCCCCAAGAGGCCTCACAGCTGCCTCGAAGATGCCCCCGAGAAGCTTCCCACGAGGTCCCAAGAAACACTCCAAAGGCCTCTGACACACAGGCCAGACACCATGGCGGGATGGTCCGAAGGCCTATATTTCAGACGCCTACGGCGAATCGCCGCCGCCCCCTGCCTTTTAGGATATGCCTATGTGGCCAAACGTTTGGGCAAAATTTGGTTTAGCTACTGGACCATGCGCTCCCCCAGCCGATGTGGAAACAACATGTAGGGGAGGAAGCGGAGGATGAGGAGAGGGAGCAGCGGAGGAGGAGGAGGAGGAGGAGGAGGAGGAGGAGGAGGAGGAGGAGGAGGAGGAGGAGGGCGCGTCAGGGCTGTCTTGGAGGCCATCATGGGCGTCTTGGAGGCCGTCTTGGACCGTCTTGGAGCTCTATTGGGCCATCTTGGGGGCCTCTTGGGCCGTCCTGGAGCCCTCTTGGAGGCCTCTTGGGGGCTCTTGGGGCCATCTTCGGGGCCTCTTTGGCCGTCGGACTGCCAAAAAAGAGCAAATACCAAAATCCTTCAAACACTTAAGGGAACTCCGTGATTTGTGCATCGTCGGGTCTCTTGAACGCATGTTGGCCGTCTTGGAGGCATCTTGGGGGCTTCTTGGGCAGTCTTGGGCCATCTTGAGGCCATCTTGGGCCGTCTCGGGTGCATCTTGGGCCGTCGTGGAAACATATTGCTGCCATCTTGGGCTCTCTTGGGGCCATACTGGCCGTCTTGGAGGCATCTTGTAGGCCATGTTGGGCCCTATTGGGGCCGTCTTGGCGGCCATCTGGGACCGTCTTGGAGCCCTCCAGAGGCCGTCATGGGGGCCTCTTGGGCCGTCCTGGGGCCACCTTGGATGCCTCTTGGACGCTCTTGGGGCGAGCTTGATGGCCTCCTGGGCTGTCTTGGGCCGTCGGAAGGCCGAAACGGAGCACACCCCAAAATCCTTCAAGGCCGTCCTGGGCCATCTCAAGGCCATCTTGGGCCGTCTTGGGTGCATTTTGGGCCGTCTCGGAGACATGTTGGGTCCATCTTGGGCTCTGCTGGGGCCATCTTGGCCATCTTGGGCCATCTTGAGCGTCTTGGAGGCCTCTTGGGCCGTCTTTGGGCCCTCTTGGGGCCGTCTTGGGCCATCCTGGGGCCATCTTGGAGGGCTCTTGGGCGCTCTTGTGGCGATCTTGATGGCCTTTTGGGCCGCCTTGGGCCATCGGAAGGTAGAAAAAGAGCACCCCCCAAATCCTTTACAAACGCAAGACACATTAATGTATTTGGCCTCTTGGAGCCCTCTTGGGGGGCCTCTAGGGGCTCTCCTGCGACGTTTTGGCGGCCTCTTGGGCCATCTTGAGGCCATGGTGGGCCTTCTTGCGTTGATCTTGGGCCATCTTAGGCTCTCTTGAGGCCATCTTGGCCGTCTTGAAGGCGTCTTGGAGGCCATCTTGAGCCACCTTGGCCGTCTACGATGCATCTTGGAGGCCATCTTGGCAGTCTTGGAGGCCATCTTGGGCCATCTTGAAACCATCTTGAGCAGGACAAAACTTTTGCAACCGACTCTTCCGGATGGCCGGCGGAGTGGACCGAAGCCCCAAGGTGAGTTCTCTAGAAAAGAAACAAACATTTAGAAGCCCAAGCGATTAGCCCCCTATGTGGCCAAACGTTTGGACAATTCCTTCGAACACCTAAGGGAAACGTTGATTTGGGACTCTTCGGGCCTTCATGGATGTCCTCTTGGGGGCCTCTTGGGCTGTCTTGGAGGCCTCTTGAGGGCGGGTCCTCCTGGGCCATCTTGAGGCTATGTTGGGCCGTCTTGGGTGCATATGGGGCCATTTTGTAGGCATGATGTGGCCATCTTAGTGCCATTCCGATTACGATATTATTATTATTATTATTATTATTCTTAGTGGCATTATTATTTTTATTATTATTAGTATTAGTATTAGTATTAGTATTAGTATTAGTATTAGTATTAGTATTAGTATTATTATTCTTATTATTATTACTAGTATTATTCTTATTATTATTCGTGCTGACCGTGGTAGTAGCAGTTCGAATAATAGGAGTCGGAGCTTGTCACATCATACTACAATTCGTTTCCTGCAGTATTCTCGTATTCTCACACGCCCCACACGCGCACCGTGAGAGCCCAACAACGATGCCCATGAGAGCTCTCTGGAGGAGGGGCGCAGGTAAGCATGTAGCGAAGCATTGATGCCAGCGCTGGGGAAGGAGAGGCGGAGGCGAAGCAGAAATAAACAACAGGACGGGAAAGGGGGAGGGGAACTAAAAGACAGGAAATACATCAACATGAATAAAAACAGGAAGGGAGGGGGAGGAGGGGAGAGGAGGGGGAAAAGGAGGAGGAGCATGGAGGAGGCGGATGAGGAGGTGGAAGGAGGTGGAGGGTGAGGAGTTCGAGGATGAGCACGAGGAGGAGAGGGGCGAGGACGAGGACGATGATGATGATGATGATGATGATGATGATGATGATGATGATGATGATGATGATGATGATGATGATGATGATGATGATGATGATGATGCTGATGATGAGAAAGAGCGTGTTCTACCGCTGCTGGCGGAAAACCGGGGGGGGGGTCACTACCGGTTCGAACCCCTTCCCCCCCCCCCCCCCCCCCTGAAAAGGGGGGGGGGCACTACCGGTTCGAACCCCCCCCCCCCCCCCCCCCCCTGTGAAAAGGGGGGGGTCACTACCGGTTCTAACCCCTCCCCCCCCCCCCCTCGAAAACCGGGGGGGGTCACTACCGGTTCGAACCCCCCCCCCCCCCCTCGAAAACCGAGTGGGGGTGCGGACAGTGGTGGGGACGGTGTTGGTGGGGACAGTGGTGAGGGGATAGCGGGACAGTGGTGGGGACAG